TATGATTCTATAATTGAGATATCATCAAGAAGACAGGTTCTCATTGACTTTTTCTAACTTCAACAAACGATAGTATGAATACGATAGAATTGTCAAAAGTACTTGATAAGGTAGTGAAGCAAGGCGTCTTTCTTTGAGTATTTGCTAGTGACCAGCTTCCTAGATCAGTTATTAAAAAGAGACCCGCCATGTTGGTGGTAAACACAGACCCCTCCCACCTGGGAGGACAACACTGGGTCGCTATCTATATTGACAAGCAGGGTGTGGGATCATTCTTTGACAGTTTTGGGAACTCTCCGGTATACTCACATTTTCCTGAATCCTTTTCTGTCTTTCTCAACAGTAATTGTAAGTCCACGCAACATTCTGTTAGACAAGTGCAAGATGTAGATTCTGTAGTGTGCGGTCAGCATTGTGTGTTTTTTCTTTACCACATGGATAGAGGGTTATCTTATGACAATGTAATGACTAAATATAGTAATAAACGGTCATGCGATGATTTTATGGTGTGCAAATTTGTGAAAAAAAATTCGATAAATAATTATCAAAATGATTTATAGATTGAAATGTGTACGACAATATTTTTGTTATTATTGTGATATAAATAAAAACACTTTGAAATGATAACGTTATCTCTCTATGTATTTATTTGAAACCAATAATGATATACAATTAAAAAGTTATCCAATCACTCAATCCCATTTTAGGAGATACAAATGGACTTTCATTGTTTGCTAATCGATGCAGTTACTCCTCTTATCAAATCATACACATGAGACCCTTTAATAACATTACCGTTAAACACAAACTCCCCATGTTCAGTCCATGCAGATATGTTTTTTGAGGAGGACATTTTATCCAAAATATGCTGAGCTATTCCTGCTTTTTGGCATGTTTTTTAAAATTTCTTCAAAAACAAAATCTCTTCTTGATTCTTCTGCTCTGAAGAGTGAAAATCCTCAGCGACCGGTATTGACAAAGTTAGTGTGTTCTGGTCTTTTTCTCCTTGTTTTACCATGGTGAGAAATCTCTGCAATGCGATGGAATATTTTTTTTGCTTTTTCATGAAGATCTTCAGTCTTTTGAGCTAGAATGTCTTTAATAGTACGATCCAGGTAATTTTCAACAGTTTCTCGAATAGACTTGTGTGCCGGAGGTCTTCTTAAAAGATCAAGCTGTTGTTTAGGTACCAGAAACATTTTTTCCATAGTTATCTAAGATTGTCTTGAAGCAATAAGACTCGTTATAAAAGGCACAGCGATACTCAGGAGGGGGAGAAGAAATCCACCAGACTGTTTAAGCAACGTCTTCTTTTTCTTTGAAGCGCAAACCTTTTTATTGGCGAGCAGTCTAATCCCCGCCTTCTTCTTTTTTAATTTTTCATACCGTGTCTTATTTAAAGGAATTTTACCTTTACCTTTACCATTGTAAGCTATTTCGCGTAATGCTACCAAAAGGTCTGGTGATGCAGATTTAATAATATTCACTCTCTGAGATGGAGATGCTCCGTGCAACATTTGCAATAAAGATAGGTTTCTTTTAATGCAATCAGACATATTTATTTACTTTCTCTTAGGCACATACACAACAGGCAGGTCTGAAAGCAAGTCAATTCTGAGTCTGAAATCATCAGGTGACTTAGCTTTAAAATCAATCATCAAAAAACCGTAAAGAACACTCGTGGCATCTTCGAAACAATCCATAAAAAAATACTCTTCCCAGGAAACATTTGTGTAGTGTAGTGCAACAACAGTGTGGATTTATGAATTTTATATTAAATAATTTAGAGACTCAACTCCTCTTTTCTCTCCCAGCGAAAGGAGGGGGTTGAGATCAACTTTCAACAGACGACTGAAGAGACCCCAACAGAAGGGGGGTGGAAAGGTCGCTTTCCCTAAGTGCTATTCCGGGGCAGTTGATCGTAAAACTGGCCACACCCGATATAAGCCTCTCGGTGCCTGACTGTTAAACTGACAAAAGGGACATTAACCAGGGATTAGCATTTTTCTAAACAGCCTATCAGAACTCTTCTTAAAGAAAGGGACAGGAAACCCTAACTTGCTCTGTGTTTAATTACCTCTCATCAAAGGGATATCCCTTCTCACCCAGGTGTGACAAAATCCAGGACACCAAGGACAGCCCTGAACTTTATGTAAACAAAGACTGCAGTCTCCAAAGACTCAAAGCATTACCTGTTTAATTAAATAATCTTTTAGTTACTTGATTACGTTTGCCTCTATTGAGTAGTTATGTTACCATGTTGTTGCTATCTGTTGTTGATATTATGGCTGAAAAGAATCAAAATAAGTTACTTTTGCAGGGTTTTAATTTTCAGCAAGATTAAGGACACTCCTTCATTTTATGTGTAACCAATGCTTGTTCACAATACTTTCTCACACAATTCCTTTAGAAATGATGATAAATGTCATACTACACGTTATTAATTGCCAGCTTGAATTTAAGGCTAAATAACTAAATTTTCCAGCTCCTGAGAAGATTGTTTTTGGATTAATCTAAGCTTTCCTCATGTAACCTGAGCTCCCCCAAGTGGACGAAATAAGTATTACATACCATCGTCGGAAATGCCGTTAATGTATAAATGTCACTCATTATTTATCATGACCAATAATTTGACAATTGTTTTCCTGTTAACAAATGCTTAAACTTAGAACGGTACAACCGTTTGACCAGTGAGGTTTGATTGTGGGAAATACTTGATTATAATACGCGCAAATAGATTTTCTTTTTCTTTATAGACATATTAAAAGTTTAGAAAGACAGTCCCTCAGGAAACCGGAATCGGCCTCCCTGCGGGAAACGAAGGGACTGCCCTCTGGGGAACCACGCCCCAGACAACAAAAGAGCGACACACGACGTCGTTCGCTCTTCTCTTCCTCTTCGCTTTGCTCTCTGGACGCTTCGGCACGCGCCCGCCGTGCCCCTCCCGGCAACGCCCTAAGAATTCGACCAGCGCAGCGAAGTCTTGAAGCTACACACGCGAAGTGCCGCGACTTCAGTGTCCCTCAGTTCCAGCAACTTCACTTGTTTTATTTTCTTTCTTTTGTTTTGTTAAAAGTTATCAGTCCGTTAAGTTACACTGGTCTAATTCAGGAACGACCAAGTTCCCTTTTAAGCTTTTTCGTAGAGCTAACTTCACCGAGGTCAGACCCAACCACATGGTCTCGCCAGTGGCAACGAAGGACACCTGAAAAACAGCCGAATTGCCAGACAGAGGACGGCCAACCCTTGAGGGTTTTTCTTCAATCAGACACGTAGAACCTTGGAGAATAGCAAAAAGCCAGGATCGGGCAGCTAGTGTGGGACCCGTGCAACAGGCCAAAGCAGGCTGCCGACAAGCAGTAAGACCAAAACAAAGCATTCTGTAGTCAGGGATGTCCCATAGTGTTAATGTTGTCTTTTAACTCCTCCCACAATCGAACCTCCATTCTCATTGTTTAGCCATTGTTTATTTCTCTGATGTATTTAACCACCTTTTTATATCACCTTAGTTAGTTAATAAATTCACTGTAATCAAGGAATTGTGTGTAATGCATACTTCTAAGTCCCTGCCAAGAGAATTTACCCTTTAGATATGAGACTGAATGATTGATTTAAGATAATTGAGCGTTTATTAACTAACTGATCACTGGAAGATGGCAAGCCTTCAACAAAATTCACATTTCAAATTTTCAACAACTGGTCATACAATGGTTGCCAACATGAAAAAATATATACAACATTGTCAATCTGTTTTGAAATGAGCTTATCTGCATTTTCAATCAACATTTTCACAAAATATGTTTTACCGCTGTTTGAAGGACCTGACACAATTAGACTTGCAAAGGATGTTGTAGTCTAAAATCAAAACCATCAGTCTCTCTAACATCCATTTCAAAAACCGTATGGTAAAGTTTTCAGATTAGGAAAAACTGCGTTTCTTGTACACGACTTGAAGTCTTTTGGCTATTGTTTTATTTTTTAGTTCGAAAGCCTTTTTATTTCTCAGAAATAAAATAAAATAAACTTCTGTTTTTTACATATTACATCTGACGTATTTTGTTTACTAGCTAATAATTAAGATGTTGCAGGCAAAACACATGATTGGTCTAAGAAATTAACACAGAAGAGGACAATACAGTAAGTAGAAATAAATATTATTAGAATATAGGTGACAACAACTAATGCCACTTCCCTAGCAAAGGTTGTGATCTATAAAAAACAAACTCCTTGAAGACATTGAAAATGTGCATCCTGTAAGTAAACTCTGAACCATGTGTGCACATAAAGAGGAGAAATGAGAAATGGCGACTCACATGGCAGCAGGATGAAACAATTTGAAGTGAATAGTCCTACAACTGTGTAAAATATATCGAAATATTACCTCTGAGTAGTATAGGTTAAAGCCTAAAGCCTTTCTAAATAATCAGACACTTGTTTGATTGATTCTCCCTGAAGTTCCTATATTCATTGTCATTTACAACAAGTCACAGGCTATTTCTTTTAACTCATCGCCATCGTTGTAAAGTGAATGGACTGTTTGTGTAATCTAAATACATGTTTAAACACAGGTGGAATGCATTTGGTTTACTCTCTTTTCAAACGGGGGGAATCCAAATTACCTACCGTCACTACCCAGGAGGAATTCCCCGTTCCTGCAGATCAGTTATAAACAAGACTGTATGGCTGCAGCCTGGAGCCTCCTGTCTCGTGCCCTCTCGTCTCATGCCCTCCCGCGTGGTGCCTTCCGCTAGTTTCTATGGTGCAAAATAAAAACTCACGTCTGGTTCGTTCTGTCTTCCTCGTACTTTGGTGTTTTTGAACTGAATAGTTACGGCAATCATGCGAATGGATAAAATACTTAATAAAATCTCTGCTGCTTATCCTGTGTATGTGCCAACTAAACGACACACAATAGAATAGAATAAGCAATTGTATTTGCAGCGATTTCCCTATTAAGTGTGGAAACAATAGAGAATATATAAATAAAAATGAGTCTTGGAGAGAGTATAACATGTTTATTATTTTGTTCTTCATTATCACTGTCCTCCCGAATATTGGCAGAAATTGCTGCAGGATCCAGGGTGGGGATCTTCAGAAGATATACCCTGCAGCTCACCTCTTCCAAAGTACCCTGTGTTTATAAGAAAAACAGCACAAAATCATACTCTTGATCTGCACTCATACAGTGTTTAGATTTTTTTTGTTTCAGTCTTTTTTTCTTAGCAACAAGCATGCTCAGCACAGTAGGCTGTGCCCTACACATGTTTTTTTTTTTTTTTAAAAGACACTGATGTATTCCTTAGGTAAAATCAAAGAAGGAATCCACTAAAGTCTGTTATCATAAATTGCTATAGGTTAGTGTTGAGCTAATATTCGCTAACAAACGTCTAATTGAAACACTGCAGCAGTTTAAAGTGTTAAAGTCATCGCAGGTTTCATCACATAGGTTAATGTCAGGGACACAACAATAACACCCAGAAATATGCAAAACATTTATGGCCAAATATTTATATTATATTTATTTATATGTTTTTAATTGACTGCATGAATTAACTCACTCGTGACTCCGACACTTTATCCTTCTGCTGCTGCTGCTGCTTCTTCTCTTGATTAACACCAGATTGCAAACAACGTTTAGGTGCATACCGCCATCTACTGTACAGGAGTGTGTAACACACATAATTCGCGATTTTGACACTTGAAACTACGTTTAAAACAATCTTTCTACCAGATTTCTGGAATAGCATTATCATTAGCACGACAGTCTTAATTTATCAGTTCAAAAACACCGAAGAACGAGGTACAAATAGGGAACACGACGCGAGCTTTTATTTTGAAATATAGAAACTAGCGGAAGGCACCAGGCGGGAGGCCATAAAACGAGAGGGTATGAGACGGGAGGCTCCAGGCTGCAGCCAGACCCGTCTCGTTATAAAGGGAGTGGAGCTCCGGTGCCCCCTTTCCAACGGTGCACGGTGCACGAGCGGTGCATGAAAGTGCGTTTTTTACCCACGAAACAACTTTTGCTTCACCAAAAGGAACGTCAGTGTCACGCTGAGTTAAATCTCATTTTGTTGCTCCTCTGTCAAGAGTTTGCCTCCTTTTCTTCCCGCGGTCAGTACGTATTAATATTAGCCTAATTCCACTGACCATTTATAGACAGTTGTAAGCGTTTGAAGGGATCGGATATGGCGCTTCCTCACATAGGCCACATTTCAAGTTGATTGTGATTTATAAAGGGAACATGCTTACAAGTGTGCATATGCACGGTTTTATAAGTCTGAATATTTTTTTGGCGTAAGCCATTTTTGTCTTTTGGACGCACATACACTTTTTGCGAGATTTCTGGGCATGTTTTTATAAATGAGACCACTGTTCTGCATCCCCCACAGGTCTTTACCGCCCCCTACTGCCACACAGGTGGAGTTTAAAACAAGAACGAAAAATAATCACACGCATTTGTAAACATCTTGTGATAGCCATCTGTTTTGTGTTCTCACGCATAAATCCATCCCCTTTCACTAACTCTACCGTTTTGCTCTTCCTAGCATTTAGTAACAACACTGCATCACATAGACTAATGTACCCTATATTACAATGATAACGATAAAACATCAACGCTCTACTTTCACAGTTTTATCCTGCAATACTTGTTAGTCTGACATTATGGTCTATGCAGAGATAGATGGCTGTATACATCCGCATTCACGCATTCATGTCAAACCGACAGCTGTCTAGCTGTGATCCCATCCTATTCTCATCCCCCATCCGCTGTCACACACAGGCAATACCCTCCCCAGTTACACTATAGACAATCGCATGGCAGTTCTTAACGAGTCACTATAGCTATAGGACTAAAATAAGTGTTTCTTCTCTCCTCTCTGTCAATGAGACAGGTTATTGCAAGTGTTGTAAGAACCACAGAAGAACGAAAAATAATCATAAAAGCATTTGTAAACATCTTGTGGGAGCCATCTGTTTTGTGTTCTCACGCATAACCCCAAGAGTTTAAATCAAGAATGAAATATAATACCACGCATTTGAAACAGCTTGTTACTGAGAAAGTTTAATTGTCATTATTATTTGCTATAAGACAGTTTAGTCACAGTTAAGAAAAAGCATACATAAAATCCACACTGAATCTCAACACACCCTCCTGCCTCTACAGCACATTCTCACAACTAGATGTTACTGCATGTAACATTAAGAGACAGAGGCTCACACACCCGCAACGCAGTCATTCAACACAAGAGGAAACAAGATTTTCATGGCTTCCAGTGGAATTTGAGGACCTTATAGCCTATCAGCTTTAAAGGCTGTCCCACAGAAATCCCATGATGCATAGCGAGTTTTGTTAAAATTTATTAAAATGCCTACTATTTGCTTGAAATACAAAAGATCCGCTGTAATTTATGTTTTTTTTTAAATGTTTCCGGTTATAATATAATGTTTTTAGTCAGTAATTGTCATTCCTATGACAGTTTACTATTGAAACCTTGACTGAAGGGACTGTTTTATTTGATAGCATTGTGAGCGGACAAGCAGTTTAGTAACAATGTGTGACTATTCAGCTGTTTGGTTAATAAATTACTATTTTGATGTCAATGAATATGCACTGTATCAAAACTCTTATATACACAGATGACCGAATTGGCTACGAGGGGATGATCTAGACCATTATTGTAGCGCTACAGAAAAAAAAATCCCACAAATCAGCGCTGCTCTCACACTGGAAGGATGCCTGGTTCGCTTGAATTGATAAATTATCGTCTTCACAAGAGGAAGCAGAATTGGGTTTGAGGTGTTTCATTGAACTAGACGTATTGCTGCAGAGCTGCAGCCCCCTGGTGGGTGACGTGAAAAAAAAAAAAAGACTCCAGAAAACAGTGCAGGTCTCACAAATGGAAGGCTGCCTGGTTTGCTTTAATTGACAAATTATCACCGCCACAAGAGGAAGAATGGTTCTCTGCATTATATGCTTTAAAATCTTTATATTTGTCCCATCATATTGGTGAGGCATAAGGATTATAAAGATTCTCTACATTATATGCTTTAAAATCTATATATTTGTCCTATCATATTGGTGAGGCATAAGGATTATAATACACTATACTTTAATTAATTTAGTTGTATATAGATAACTGTATCATCATGAATTTCATAGGGTTCTTAAATGGCTGTTTTGCACAACCTCCCCCCGCCATCCGCAGGAGCGCGCAAAGCTGCCTCTTATTTACAACTCAGTGTTACAGAGTTACAGGTTTAGATTTTCAGATACTCACATTACTATCGTTCCACTCCATCTCAGCAAGTAAACCCTGTTTGGTGAAAGACAAAGTACATTTTGTACTAAAAAGGCCCTAGCTTTTCTCTCTCTTAATTGGTCACAGACTGCTGAAGCCTTGTATTAGCTTCAGCTGAACTTACTTTTGCACAGAGCAAAAGATGGTGGACTTTGTCCTCTGTCTCTGACATTGGAGTCGTACCAGAGAGGGATCACTTCACCACTGCTAAGAACAATCAACTGTTTCAATGTACATATTTGCCTTTGAGTGTATTTGATATAATTGTTTCTAATGTTTCTTCCTAATTTTTGTCTCTGCTGTGAGGGCTCCAGAGAGGTCTCGTCAGAGTCTGATGTTCGCAAGGAGTTACAGGGACAAGAGGCATGTGTTTCCCATCTGAATAAACTGTAACTCAGAGGGCTGGCATGCTTTGTGAACATGATTTCATGCATGGTATAAGTCTGCCTGTTGTGGCAAATCCTCACCTGAATAATCCTTCGCTGGGGGACTTAAATCATAGACAGTCTAGGGCTGTGACTGGAACATTGTTGGGGAAAGTGATGAGGAACAGTGGAGGGGAAAAGCAAATAGGTAGTCATCCCTAAACAATAACTGTCAAGGTCCCCTTGAAAAAAAAGTTTACCAAAAAATAGTCTTATTGAGTTTCGGGGTGACTTTGATATTTAAGATGTACCCACTAGCTCCCAGTCATAAAACCCTAGCTTGCGCTGACAGGTAAAGGTTAAAGATCCCCTCCAGAGAATCTATGAATATGCAAATATTGTTCATTTCAAAGGTTTTACTGCTGGACACAAGATGTCTCTTGCTTCACTGAGAAGTCCATTCTCTGTGAAGTGGAGGTTTCAAGTTTCCACATCACATATGTATAAGTCACATACTGGACCATGATTTGCTTCCAAACAATTTGTGATGACACAAAATCCCACTTGTACACCCACGTCTTTAACTCGGATTTAATGTGAGCACAGAGATACTTCCCCCCCTTCGACAGGTGGATGTGAAAACAGTCTTCTAGTGACAAACTCTGCACATAAGTCACGTTAAGTAACAATGAGCGAAACATATTTTTGAACTGACAAAAGCAAGGAAGGTTTAGGGTTGGGGTAAGGGCAACACTACTTTCTCGCAATATATACATGAACACTATATTTGAATAAGTATATACACATCATATGTTCATATGTTAGGGTTGAGATATAAGTCCAGTGTATGTGCAGATGTGTGAGCACTTGTGTGGACATATGCAGACAGTGCATTTTAGGCATGTATACCTGTATGGAGGTATGTTTGTCTGTTTATGGGTATTCTTATGGTTATATATATGTACATGTGTTGTATATGTATAATCATAAGCCATCATTAGGTTGGAGGTGTGAAGTGCATGCAATCCAGGAGTAGTTTCCTATCCTCTTTGCCCAACTCCCACCCCCCCCTTTCCTGACATATGACCTAAATACATGCAGTATTTGTCTCCTCCCTGAGCATGAATCAAAAATAAGAAAAGGCAAGGAAGTACACATGAACCAATAGGGAGTACCTGAAGAAGCTGTGAGAAATAATATCCACCTGTTTTTACTTCCGCTGTACAACTGAAAAAAAACAACAAAATTTAGAAAAAAATTTTTTTCTGCCATATCAATTGTCTCTATTCTCAGACAGTGTAGTTTGTAGTTTACAATTTTTCTCACTCGCTTTGGTACATTTCTCAAATCATCCTTAACAATTGCAAAACAGCAGGTGCATTTCTCGAAACATATTGAACACCTGCAAAAGCCCGTAACCTGCTCAAAATCCTTAGTCTATCTAGTAGTAAGTCAAGTAAATATTTAGGTCAGTGAACTTGTCAGTGCCATCAGAATGACAAGTACTGTCATTGTTTCCAAACAAGACAGTCAAAATGTTTAGACATGTTATCAATATAACAGTGTACTCTGTAAGTGTTTTCTGATGTAAACTATGGCTAACGTTTTAATGACAATGATTGAAAATGCAAATTTTTCAATATGTCAGTATCAATTTCAACAGTATAAAGTTATACATTGTAAGAGATTGGACAGGATTCACAGTTACGTTTTTTCTGTTTGTACTATAATTTGTTGACAGAGCCTGTCATTGTGATGCAGAAAAGAAAAAGAAAGGACTCAACTTTGACTTAACTTTGATTTTGACAACGTGTGACTTACGCAATGAACTTGTGCCTAGATGTTTTGGGGTGGGGGTAAGATTATTCAACAGAGAACCAGTATAATTCATTGAGATCAGCATGACATAAGCAATTGATAGTGTAGGAAACAGCAGACAAAATCATTTGCTTCAATGTTCAAAACAATGAGAAATTGCTTTTATTAAGTGACGCAGTAGTTCTGAGAATTTCAGTTCTGATCTGAAAAATGTAGAAAGATAACTTGGTGTAAATAATCCCATATTATGTTAACAATTTTCCCCGTCACACATTTTTTAAATTTGTCCCCTACACAGAGGCTGGGATTTTTTAACAACTTTACCACAAAACACTACAAAATCATGCAGAAGGTACAGTACAGTACGATTTGGATGATGTACTTCAAGTTTGTGATTGTAATTATATACATTAAACATTGCCATAGGGTGGTTTGTAAACAAGATGTTTGACTTCAGCAACACTTTTACTAAAATACAAATTTAAAATACTTATCCTTACTTATACTTTTAGAGGACTATTCTTGTAAAAAATATGAACTATTCTGTATACTATAAAAATCACGTACATTAGGTGGCAGTATGCACCTTGATGTTGCAACCATATGCAAACTGTGTGGAGAGGAGATTAATTGCTGCTTTTTTTTTTTTTTTACATCTGTTGGCAAATTGTAGAGGTTATTTTTGCTTATGATAAATCACTTTCCAACCGTGTACCCTGTTTGGTATAAACCCGTTTTGAAGCTGTCTTTCTCTTTCTTATTTCTCTCCTCAGGGGTGATTGTGCTTACTGTGAAGAGACCACAGTACCAATCTTTTATTTACACCTCTGAAACAAGGTTCATCTTTGCTTCGACTGGGGAGTTTCACGCCGAAATTAAATTCCTATTGTTGAAAACATACGGAATTATGACCCACATATCAGATTATTGACTAGCAGCCAAATTCATTTTGTACAAGTGAGTCATCATCACCATGAGGGCCAGTAAGTGCGAGGTGCACGTTGAAAATCTAAAATATTCTCAAGACATAGACTGAGGAATAATGAAGGACACATATCAACGCATTATGAAAACGATACTGAGGACAGTTTTCCCACAGTTGCTGTTCACCTCCAATGGTGTCACTACTCAGCTCACTGAAGTCCTGCTAGTCCAATCAGTGTCAGTGAAATGATTAGTGATTGCTAATCGGCTCTGTAACTACAGTCAAACACTAATTAAAAAAAAGAGCCTGATCTGTAAAAAGCCAAATTTTCTCACAATTTATACAAAAAGACTACATCATGACCCATTTGTTACAATTTCTTACTTACTTTCTCTGTTCTTTTTAGCAGGTAAGAATAAAACTTGGTATTTTTGTCTTGAAGTGCCTGGAGGCAGCATGTGCCTGAAGGAACAATAAATGAGCAAATTAGAAAAGAGTGCGTTATTTAAGCATGTCATGATGAATTTAAACCACCAGCCCCCATAGTGTCCAATACCTCCCTGATGGTCCATTTATAGGATGAATTTACCACCTTGTCAGTGCTCTGCAGTTTCTATTATTTGGCAGGGCATGGTGTTTAACATGAATTCAAAGCTTTAAGGAGCTGAAGTCCCCAACAAAGATGCTGCTTTCAATAGAACAAATGAGATTGAGCACAGGAAGGGTCCCTGTGACAACTTCCTTTTTTTCAGACTTTTTACATCCCTCTTCAGTGTTACCTGCAGTCTTTAACCATGTCAGGCCTCCCCTTTCCTCTGGACTGTTGAATTTTGTCCTTGTAACTTGCATTTACATTGCTCCACATCATAAATGTCAGCTCATCCAAACACACACAAACACTAAAATTCGGGATTACCTGCTTTAGGACTTGGAAATCTCTGTTGCAGTCCAGGGCCACCAGGGCAAAGGTAATTACACAATCTGTTTAGGTGTCATCAGCACATCATTTCTGTGGTTGCTCAAACATGAAGGAGACCTTGAGGGGCTTATTTGTGTGTGTGTGTGTGTGTGTGTGTGTGTGTGTGTGTGTGTGTACTCCTCATCAGGCCTGGCAAGCTGTTGTCAAGGTGTGGAAAGGCAATAAGTAATAAGAGATGCTGTTCTGTTATCGATTTCAGATGCCCTTGCAAACAATTAGATTCAACAACAGTCTTTATTGGAGAGATGACAATTTACTCAAACTTTCCTTATGGACTGAAGAAGTCTCTACATACACTCACCTAAAGGATTATTAGGAACACCTGTTCAATGTCTCATTAATGCAATTACCTAATCAACCAATCACATGGCAGTTGCTTCAATGCATTTAGGGGTGTGGTCCTGGTCAAGACAATCTCCTGAACACCAAACTGAATGTCAGAATGGGAAAGAAAGGTGATTTAAGCAATTTTGAGCGTGGCATGGTTGTTGGTGCCAGACGGGCCGGTCTGAGTATTTCACAATCTGCTCAGTTACTGGGATTTTCACGCACAACCATTTCTAGGGTTTGCAAAGAATGGTGTGAAAAGGGAAAAACATCCAGTATGCGGCAGTCCTGTGGGCGAAAATGCCTTGTTGATGCTAGAGGTCAGAGGAGAACGGGCCGACTGATTCAAGCTGATAGAAGAGCAACTTTGACTGAAATAACCACTCGTTACAACCCGAGGTATGCAGCAAAGCATTTGTGAAGCCACAACACGCACAACCTTGAGGCGGATGGGCTACAACAGCAGAAGACCACCGGGTACCACTCATCTCCACTACAAATAGGAAAAAGAGGCTACGATTTGCAAGAGCTCACCAAAATTGGACAGTTGAAGACTGGAAAAATGTTGCCTGGTCTGATGAGTCTCGATTTCTGTTGAGACATTCAGATGGTAGAGTCAGAATTTGGCGTAAACAGAATGAGAACATGGATCCATCATGCCTTGTTACCACTGTGCAGGCTGGTGGTGGTGGTGTAATGGTGTGGGGGATGTTTTCTTGGCACACTTTAGGCCCCTTAGTGCCAATTGGGCATCGTTTAAATGCCACGGCCTACCTGAGCATTGTTTCTGACCATGTCCATCCCTTTATGGCCACCATGTACCCATCCTCTGATGGCTACTTACAGCAGGATAATGCACCATGTCACAAAGCTCGAATCATTTCAAATTGGTTTCTTGAACATGACAATGAGTTCACTGTACTAAAATGGCCCCACAGTCACCAGATCTCAACCCAATAGAGCATCTTTGGGATGTGGTGGAACGGGAGCTTCGTGCCCTGGATGTGCATCCCACAAATCTCCATCAACTGCAAGATGCTATCCTATCAATATGGGCCAACATTTCTAAAGAATGCTTTCAGCACCTTGTTGAATCAATGCCACGTAGAATTAAGGCAGTTCTGAAGGTGAAAGGGGGTCAAACACAGTATTAGTATGGTGTTCCTAATAATCCTTTAGGTGAGTGTATGTCAGTAAACACATTGGCAGAGGTATAAAGTCCAATTGTCAGTGAGTTGTTTTGTGAGTCAGTAGTGTTTTATTATCAAAAAAGGTAAAGAACAGTTCTTTAGGGAAATATCAAAATGCTCCAATTTGTCTACATAGAGATAGCAATATATTATTTGCTTGTTTCTGTCTTATTCTCAAAGGTGTACATGGAATGTGACTTGCAAAGCAGCTATGTATACTGTAGCCGAAATAAAACATGCAATTTCATCAATCATTTAAACTTCTCAGTGTTTGGGAAAACATTGGGAAAGGTTGGTTGGTTGCATTATTGCATAGGTCTGTATATTAAGCTATTATGTTGATCAGTTTATTAAGACTTTGATTAGTTTGGCCAGCTTACAGTGCATGTGTAACCCTTTTCTAGAAGAGCAGAAAATATGATAAATGAGTTAAGAATTTGGCTAAATAAGGCTTCTATCGTTTAACGTAACATATTGTATAGTTCAATATCTCCATAATGTGTCCTTTGAAAACCATGTATCTCCAAAACATCAACTTTTAATAAGCTTAAAAAAAACAGCTGTTTTCAACTGTCAACTGTTTTCATTTTTCAGATAGGCTAATGAGTCTGCAAATGTTTACTTAGCTTAAGAAGTAGGAATGTTTTTATCTAAATTTGGAAATAGATTGTTTTCACTAAACAGCAAGAGGGATTTAGCCCGTGGGTGGAAGGGGGATCCCTTACTAAGAGGGACTGATTTAAGTTTTAAATTAATATTAAAAGTATAAAACATGGGGTTTATCTTATAATAACAGCAATTCTAACCATAAGAGTAAGGACCAGCCCCATAGTGCTATAGCTTATTGTATTGGGCTACAAAATTACTCACCGCAAGATGAATCTGTCTACATAAAGATGATAAAAATATACAGGTCAGCTTAAACATAGCTATTAATAGGACTAGTTCTGGTCTTACCAGTTTGATCCTAGTATGCAGTGTGAGACTGTCAGGAATGATGAATTTCACTCATATCTGAAAATTGAATTTATTTATGTAAAAGTGTTACATACATTTTATAAAGAACAAGCACAAACTCAAGTTGTAATACTCAAAAATGTAGCAGTGAAGGATTTGATTGATTTCCTACCTTTGGATCAGCAGCGGACCACAAGCAATCTCTTCTTTTATGTGAAAATCAATTTTACCAACTGACCGTCTGAAATCTTTCATGATTTATTAGACTGCAATTTTTTAATCACATTTTCTCCCATCAGACTTTTTGAATTATGGGGTTTTATGACAATATGTGGCTGTTGGGAAACTTTTGTCCCAACAAACAGTAGCTGCCCACTCAGTAGTGTTGACTTCAGTGTTCTCAGTGATCCAGAAGTTTACAATCATTGCAAACAAGCAAATTGCGGATTGAAAAATTAAATTTTTGCTCTCTCTCTCTCTCTTACACACACACACACACACACACACACACACACACACACACACGCACACACACACACACACACACGCACACACACACACACACACACACATTTTAAAAGCCACTACTATCATTTCAATGGAAATATACAGCAGTGTGGTTGATATGTGTTGGATTAGTGCATAAAGTGATCACTAGGCCAACATTTGTTTTGCGACTGAAACCAAATCCACAAACATTTTGATATCACAAACCAAAGACTATTTCATGGCAGAGCCACTGGACTGCAATCCAGCTTGGACGAAATGATGACTGAATTTCCATGACGGTTAAAATGAAAGGGGAATTACAGTTCTGCTGTAAGGAAAGGGTGATGAAAAATATTCAATGTGCTCTATTGCAAACTACTAAAGCAAAGTAATGTTGGCCAACACACTGGTTCAGCAGTTCTGAACTCGGTAATATTTCTACGTAACCTTTTTATGATTCATTTTGGATTAAAAAGCAAAGACGGGACACAGAGGTCTGACATTTAAGAGCTGTTGCTGATTTCCAAGGCCAGGAAAGCAGCTGCCTCTCCTGCTTCTCCTCTCTAACAGCACGTGGCAGAGCTTTTCCTCATGCTTAAACTGACACCTGCAGACTCAGGCCGGGGATAACGGTCCACTGAATCAGACAGCGAAGCGACCTAAAGGCACAGTTCTGAGCCTGCATGACAGCATAAATCAGAAGCCCTAAGTAATTATTTTTATCAGCTCAGGGATCAGTACCCTTGAGGTGATTTCCTCCCTGCCACCCCCCCACCTCCAACATCCCTAACATCCTTCTTGCCCTGACAGTTAAAGCATCTAATCCCATTGAAGGCCCCCCAAGGTTGGTGGAGAAGACTGTTTTCTGTATATCAGAATGAGGCTGTATGAGAGCAGGAAGAGCGAGACAAAAATTAGATTGAAAGTGCCGGAGAGAGATAGACAGAACGAAAAGATGGTCAATGAGGTAGAGAGAAAGTGAGGAAAACAGAATCATGCCAAAACAAATTGGGGAAAAGCCTCTACTCCTGTTGGCACCAAGGTCAATAAGTCGACTTGAGTAGGATTTGAGTTGTGCTCGGTGATCTTAGAGCAGAGAACAGCTGCATTGTACTCGCATGTGTCTATTATGTGAACATGTGTGGGTGCCCTTGTGAGTATCCATATTTGTGTCCATGTGGGTTTGTGTACCTGCGTGCGGCAGGTTTGTCTTCCCTAGGGCATTTGTGTGTATTTGGGTGGATACACAATCAACAAAGCCATTGCAGGGCATTTGACCAAACCCAAAGAAACGAGTTAAATAGATAAAGCAATGTAAAGACTGTTTAGTCTGTCAGGGATGTTCCCACTGCAACTCATCCTCACCAGAAAAACGGCCGCATAGGTCGATAGTTCAAGCAGCGTATTAAGGCCCATATTTACACTCACTGTTAGGCTGCGATCTCTAGTGGCCGTATGATGGGAGTAAATGAGAAAGTCAGGTGACGTGGTAGAAAGAGCAAGAAATTGTTCATAAGGAGAGAGGTACCCGGGGTGGAATGGATGGGTCACAGCCTGGTATCATCAAAAAGGCATATGAATAACACGCTGATTTCTTAAGTCATTTGGCGTGGTATTCCAAAGCATTTTGTGCATTCTGTGTGTCATTTCATGCCGTTTAGACTGCATTGACCTTTATTGTGCAACCTGCTGTCTGTCCCAATTTTCAATAAAGTTTAAAAAAAATAACTTTTATTGTGCAGAAATGGTAAGATCAGCGTGTTTGGAATATAAATAGCCATGAAAGTCTGACACAAAGGTGGTGGCGGGGTGGTCGGGTGGATAGTGAGTGAGTTGGTCTACAGGGGAGACCAATGTTCGGTTCCCAAGTGAAACAATAAATACATAACATTACTTTTCGTTTTTGTTTACATTACGTTACTTAAGTTACCATTCTACATCATTACTAATGTTAGCTACATAGCGTTGGCTATGTTAAAGTTTAATTAGCTAGCGAGCTAAGTGATGTACTTTACTGCTAACCTTAACCATCAATAATTAAATATGTATGTCGGCCGGT